TTATTTTGGTTTGGTTTCAATAGCATTGATTTCTGCTCTAATCTTTATTATTTCCTGTCTTCTGCTGGTTTTGGGTTTTATTTGCTGTTCTTTTCCCAGCTCTTTAAGGTGTAAGGTTAGGTTGTGTATCTGAGACCTTTCTTCCTTCTTTAGGAAGGCCTGGATTGCTATATACTTTCCTCTCATGACTGCCTTTGCTGCGTCCCAGAGGTTTTGGCTTGTGGTGTTATTATTTTCATTGACTTCCATGTACTTTTTAATTTTCTCTTTAACTTCTTGGTTGGCCCATTCATTCTTTATAAGGATGTTCTTTAGTCTCCAAGTATTTGTTACCTGTCCAAATTTTTTCTTGTGGTTGATTTCGAGTTTCATAGCGTTGTGGTCTGAAAATATGCACAGTATGATCTCCATCTTTTTATACTTGTTGAGGGCTGATTTTTTGGACATGGTGTTATTTATTCTGTGGACTTTTGAAGTGCTGAGATTATGTCATTTAGGGTAAGATAATGAGACTGACAGTCCACCTAAGAAGGTGTAATGGATTGAATGGTGGCCTTCAAAAAGAAATCCATGTCCTAATCCCTGGAACTTGTGAATGTGACTTTTATTTGGAAAAAAAGGGTTTTGCAGATGACATTAAGTTAATGATCTTGTGATGAGATCATCTTTGATTATCTGAGTGGGCCCAATTCAGAGACAAATCTCCACACCGAGGACAGACATGAAGAGAAGGCCAAATGAAGCCCGAGGCAGAGACCTCAATTGTGCATCCATGAGCCAAGGGACACCAGGGGCCACTGGGAGGGGCAGGGAACCCCTAGAGCCTTCAGAGGGAGTACAGGCCTGCTAACACTTTGATCTCTGACTTCCAGCCTCTGGAACAGTCAGAGAATACATTTCTGTTGTTTTAAGCCACCCAGGTTGCGGTTATTTGTTACAGCAGCCCTAGGAAATGAATACAGCAGGTCAGAATAAAATGACTGGAACATGGTAAAATGTCATTGTCGTCACCCAACAATAACATTATCATCACTATCATTCTTAAACCTAGCCTGGGACCTGAAAAGTAGCATACACTTAGAAAATAGTGGTCGAATAAAAATACATTTCTTCCCTGTGAGCTTCCAGTCTGTGGTAATGGTGGAGGTATTGTTGAGAAGTGTGCTTACAGTGAGCTTCCAAAATAGATCCCCCTCTGAACTTTTTTGTTTTAAATATCTTTTTTGTATGTTTGTGTGAAGGGTGGTAGTGGATGTTTTAAATTGTTTTTTTAGAACCATTTTTTACACAGTTTTCCATAAACTGTCCTAGAAGAAGACTAATTTTGTACAAATAGAAGTCATATTTCCCCCAAAATAGAAAAAATGATGAGCAGTTACAGTTCTAACAATAAAAAATACTTAAAATGTCTTCTTTTTCCTATTAGAATGTTATTTAGTAAAATTGATTTCATGCTGATTGGTCTTGAAATACAATTTAGAGAGGTACTTTGGAGCAATCAAGTAATTTATTTCATTCTGCTACGAGGAACTGAAAACCAAAATTTTCAAATAATCATAAACCCAAATTTGGTAGGCCATATGTATCATTTGTATGTAAATTGTAGTTTGCCACTGGAAGCTAGATCTGTGACCTAACTCTTAACCAAAGTTTTATAAATTGGTATAATAATAATAAAAGCTAATGCTGTTGATTTAATAAATAATAATAAAAGCTAATACCTCTGTATTTTCTTGACCCTCCATGTACTATGTCAGCTTTTGTTGTCGAATACAGTTTGGAGTGGAGAGTATCAGTAAATCTAAATAAAGCATCCTCATCTAATTCCATAGTGGTTCAAACTCCAGTGTGCTTATTTCTCTACAGAGATTCTGATTCACTGGGGCTGGGAGTATGCAGTTTTAGTAAGTGCCAGGCGGTTCTGGCCATGGTTTTTAAAAAAATCCTCTTTTTTAAATGTTTATTTTCCAAAGAGACAGAGACAGAATGCGAGTGGGTTAGGGGCAGAGAGAGGAAGACACAGAATCTGAAGCAGGCTCCAGGCTCCAAGCTGTCAGCACAGAGCCCGATACGGGGCTCGAACTCATGAGCTATGAGATCATGACCTGAGCCAAAGTCAGATGGTCAACCGACTGAGCCACCCAGGCACCCCTGGCCATGGTTTGAGATAGGCTGATCTAGTTACCATACAAACCTCACAGTTCATTTCACATGGAGGCCCCGGTGGCGGTGGTGATGATGATATGCTTATGTTAGGCCATTCTTTGAATATATAATAGGGTGAGCCTATTGAATACATACATTTATCTAAACTTAGACCTCAAGTGCCTGCACTACTAAGCACTTTTTTTTTTTTTTTTTTTTTTTTTTTTTTTTTTTTTTTTTTTTTTTTTTTTTTTTGTAGAGAAAGAGTAAAAGGCTAGCATCAGAGGGATTTTTTTAAACCTTTTGAATGAGTTTCAAAATAGGGTATATTTGATCTGAGGAAGTTGTAAGGTCTGTAAACAGAAGAAAATAAACATGGCATAGAATTTCTACCCTACAGGGGTTTTTTGTATATTTTTTGTTTCGAAGAAAATTTTAATGTACATTGTATTGCACAGTAGAACAGTAACTCCATAATTTAGGGCTACTCTGGTTGTTAACTGTAGGCAAGGGTGGGGGGATCTTCTCTCGTGTTTGGTAAGAAACTTTCACCTATTTGTACTGCCAAGAAGCCTGATTATGTGTGTTTTAGAATATAGAGAAACCACTAAGCTTGCAGTTTTACTAACTTCAGAATCTTAATTGTACATTGAACTGGCAAAAATATGTTTTCTTCTTCTAGGGAATCACAAATCACATTGAGCCAAAAAAACATCCAGTGTTTTCTGCAGTTACAAACAAAATGAATATTCCCATGCTACTACAACACCCTCACCGGCATTTCCTAAAAGGCCTTTTAAGAACACCTTTTCGACGTTACCACTTCATCTTTCACTCAAGTAGTCATCGCGGATCAGGAGTCCCTTGTGCTCAGCCATTTAACTCTCCTGGACTCCATTGTACAAAATGGATGCTGCTGTCAAATGGTTTAAAGAGAAAATTATGTGTACAAACAACTTTAAAGGAACACACAGAAGAACTTTCTGATAAAGAACAAAGATTTGTGGATAAACTTTATACCGGTTTAATCCAAGGGCACAGGGCCTGCTTAGCAGAGGCCATAACTCTTATAGAATCAACCCACAAGAGGAAAAAAGAGTTAGCCCAGGTGCTTCTTCAGAAAGTATTAGTCTACCACAAAGAACAAGAACAAATAAATAAAGGAAAACCACTAGCATTTCGAGTGGGTCAGTCTTTTTTTTTCCCTTTATGTCTGTTCAGTAAATATTTTTCTACATTTTGTCTGTTTTGAAATAGGTCTAAATAGTTTTCAATCTAATGGGAATTCTTTTTTCCTTTTCAGAATTTTGGGCTGGATTTTAAATGCCTTTTCTTTGCAAATACTAGTCTTGTTATGTTGGGGGGTGGAAAACTGTCATGGTCATTTGAACCAAGGCTCTGTATTTTAAGAGAATAATATAAGATTTCTGTTTTGGCAAGAATCATGCTGTGGCTCCCAGGATAGAATATGCGTATGAGGAACTTTTACAGGTTTACTCCTCTCTCTTGGTAGTCCTTCTGCTTGATAGTCTAAAGTAAATGCCTTGGTTTTGTGTTTCTATCAACTGTAATTATTCTTATCACATTTCAAAATTCTACTTCTCAGGTGTTTCATTAGTTTCTATGGGCAAGCCTCTTTCAGGTACTTTTTGTTAAAGTTTCTGGCAGTTGCTTGGCTCTAAGCACAGCCAACTCAATACCAAAATGTATTTTAAAGGAGGGACCGTATTCATTTGCTATCTAAACTATTAGATGTTCACTCGATTTCTTGAACAGTTGACTAGATTCCATAGTTGTAAATAAGCTTGTTATATATATTTTTTAATCGCGCATTATAAAACAACGTAGATGTGTTTGGGTGGAGTGAGAGCTTTTCATGATGGCAAAATAGGTGATTCCAACCAACTTTCCTACCAAAAAGAACTAGAAATGGTGAACAAAGTGCAGAAATTGAATAAATACACTTAAAATACACTTAAAAGTTGACTGGCATTGCATTAGACTTACATCTCAGTTTATTGATGATATGGGATTAAAGCCTCCTAATTTTTATGGTAACGGTATGAATTTTAAAGATAATTTCAAAAAGAGTTCACCAACCAACATTTGTATTGGTCTATGTTGTTCATACATCCTATTCTGCCATCACTGAAGGAACCCTCATTTTGACAGTACTATGTTGGGTGTTAATAATCTTTACGTATTGCAGACAGACAAAATAGCAGACTCCAAAAGAGAAATTCCAGCTATAACAAAGTGTTTACTTGATACACCTAAAAGATATTTGAAGAGAGAAGGTCCCAGAAATATCTAGAGTTAACCAGCAACTCACACATAACCAATAACTCATAAATTTTCATTGCTATTCTGGTTCTTTTATCTTGGTCTTATGAGGCCAGATAAACCTGTGTCTCTGTGGTAGTTATTTTATTACCATCATAAATAGGAGTAACAGATTCAGCACCCGTACCGATGTTTAAGACAGAGACCTGCCCTGAAAACTTCAGTAAGGAGCCAAGCATACCATATGACGTACACATACTTTTGAATATAATTACAATTAAATGCTTAAGTTTTATATACTTTGTGAACATAACACATATATCTCTTCCTTTATGCCATATGCTGTTCGAAACATTGCAAACATTAACATCTAATTCTTGACGACAACTTGAAGAGATAGGTGCTATCATATGCATTTTATTGCAGAGGAAAAAGGCACAGAATGGTTAAGTAACTTCACCAAGATTACACAGCTCAGAAGAGGTGGAGCTAGAACTGGAACTGGCCACCTGGCTGCAGAGTGTGCGGTCTTATCTGCATGCTCTGTGAACTCTCCAAGCAGGGGAGTTTTCTGCCTCTCTTCAGACAAATTAATTTTTCCTGGATCCAGTTGATAGGATATATTTTGAGTTATGGGTGGGATGAAACAAATTATCCTTCATAAATAGAAAATTATTTTCTCAGTCACTGGGAATTTCTAGAGTAGTGAGTTGTTTTTCCACTGGGAAGATAAAAGTACAGCCCTGGGGTAGGTGGAATAATGACTGGTCATGATGAGAGGTGGGCAGATGTTGAGGGAATGTAGCACATTAACGACAGAGGCAATAAAGTCTGTCCAGAAAGATCTGAGTTATGGTAAAAAGGCATATCCTATTTTATAATCTTATAAAGTGAATTTGGTGAACATATGGAGCTCAGGATTGTTTTCTTCCTCTCTATTACTCAGGAACTAGATAAATAGTGTTTTGTTTCATTTAGGAAATGTGAAATACATTAATAGGAGTTTTAATAAATTAGGAGAAATAGAAGGTAATCTATTTGAATAGAACTTATCATAGGGCTGATTTCATTTCTTAAATTAGAAGGATTCTCTCTACTGTAGGATTGTCTGGGCCCCCTGGTGCTGGAAAATCAACCTTCATAGAATATTTTGGAAAAATGCTTACTGAGAGAGGGCACAAATTATCCGTGCTAGCTGTGGACCCTTCTTCTTGTACCAGTGGTGGTGAGTATTGCTGATTCTTTTTAAACTGCAAAGCAGGGGCTCGTGGGGCTCTCTGTTATAATTTAGTGGGAATTTGCACAGTCAGGTGACTTCTAACCTCTAGCGGAGTTTGGTCTCACTGAAAGAAGGGAGTCCTAGGGGCAAGGTGGAGATTGAGGGAGGTAGTTTGGGGTATTAGGCTCCTTGGCTTGTGTAGTCCAGGAGTAGCCTGGCTACTTAGAGAACTAGGAAAACAGGTGCCAGAAGTTGAAGATCATCAAAAGCAAATTTGAGCCCTCTATCACACCTGAGGCCAGGCCCCCACTTCCCTCCTGTTGTTTCCTCCTGGCAGCATCAGCCCCTATGCAGTTCAGAAAATGGGTCCGTCTGTTCATTGCCTTTTTTCTTATATTGTTGTAACATCTCTTAAGCTTAAAAGAAAATCTTATTGCTCTTTACAATTTGTCACCCGTTAATATTACATGTTCAGTTCAACAGAAAGCTCTTAGGGGGTCCATGTAATATACCGCTGTTGTCCCTACAGCACTTAGCATGGTATGTCACGTACAGTGCTCAGCAATTACTGATTCAGGGTCACACAGTCATCCGAGTTTACTCACAGCTCATCAGAGATACGATGAATAAACTTAGTTTCCCCAAAGGATCATTTAAGGAAAACATAAAGCATGCCATATAAATAGGAAGGTTTTTCTTCCCTTATCCCTCTTTATGATTTAGGCTTCTCACATTGCAGTTACTCATTTCACAGGTGTTTGAATGTCTGCTATAGGCCAGGCATTGTACAAGGAAGGTACCATGTTGTGTAATGGTGAATGAGACACAGTCCCCTGGCCTACGGAGCTCTGTATCTAACGAGGGAAACAGACATGTACACACAGGCCATTACAATGTAATGTGTGTTGTGGCGGGGGGAGGGAATACAGGGCACTTTGTGGAAATGTTTGGTTTGCATACAGTGGGTTTAACGCTAAAAAATAGAGATGATATCATCATATTTTAGGGGCTTTAGGTCAGTAGAAAGGTGGCTGTCACCACCCATTGAGAACTTTAGCTGAGAGTATGCACGGTTTTTGATTCACTAAAATAAAAATGTTAACCATAAAATAAAATTGTATTTACAACGTTCAAGATTAAATCCATATCAGTGTATTATCTTATGTTCAGTCTAAGAACTTTGGTAAAGGTAAGTATTTGAACAAAGAATTTTTTTTCTTTAGTGTTTGTTTATTTTTGAGAGCGGGAGCTCAAGCAGGGCAGGGGCAGAGAGGGGGGACAGAGGATCCAAAGCAGGCTCTGTGCTGACAGCAGTGAGCCTGATGTGGGGCTTGAATTCAAGAACTGCGAGATCAGAACCTGAGCCAAAGTCAGCACTTAACCGACTGAGTCACCCAAGTGCCCCAGAACAAATAATTTTTTTTATGGTGGCTCTCATTTTCATATAGGTGAGAGATCCTTTTTTCTCTTTTCCTTTGTAGTATTCTAGAATACTTGCAGTAGCAAAAGAAAACCATAGCTTGAGATAGTGATAGCAGGTATGGTGACAAGATAGTCTGATTAAAGTTGCATAGCTATGTGGTTCTTAATTCTTAAACTAAAAATGAACGCCCCTTTCTCAGGTAAGAAAAAAAAATACATGTATAGACTTTGAAAGAAAAAAATACATGGGGATAAACAAGACACTATAAGTTTACATTTCTACTTTAATATTGCTATAGGACTGTGCATTTGAAAGTAGCATGATGCCAAGGTTGAGAAGCATTCCTTTTTTGGCCTGTAGTCAACCCTTGTTGTGTTTTGGATTCACAGATTCCAGCAGTAGCTTTGAGACTTCCCTTAGGGTCTGCAAGTGACAGTTTTGGACTCACTGGCTAAGACAATTATATGGGAGAGTAATTTCATAATGTTTAGTTCAGTGTGTTAAGATCTATAGGATAATAATTTAAAGTATAGCTTTGGCAGATTGTTGACTTATCCAGAGATGATTTCATGTAGAAAATTGTTTTAGGAAAAAGTTTTAGAAAAACATCTAAATATTTTTAGAAAAAAGTAAATAAGGTAGTTGAGATGCATGGTAGGCGTGTGCTCGAGAATTAGAACCTATGGGAACTCTAAACTGGAGTCATGAGTGGAGAGATCATATCTTTAAGGAACTTCTCAATGTTTAGCATCAACTTTATGTGGAAAAGTTAGCTCTTGGGCAGAATGAAAATTGAAATTCGGGTTAGAACAGCACTACACCTCCAATGTTGTTATATGGGAAAAAGTAAAAGTTAAAGGGAATTTCAACAGTTCCAAGGCTTTTATTTTAGTCTTTTAGAATTTGCAAGTAGTGACGTTTACCAAAATACTGTCGTAAACCTTGGAACATCATTCATTCTGTACCATAGGTATTAAATTAATTGCCTACTGGGAACCGGCAGTCATTACAGAAAATGTAAGACGTGGTTCCATGGGCAAGGAACTTACATTAAAGCACTGGCACTAATGACAGTCTTGGTGTGGGACACTGAATGATGCTTAGCAGTATCCTTGGCCTCTACCCACCAGATGCCGGTAGCATCCTGCCCCCCGTTGTGACAAGTAAAAATATCTTCAGACATTGCCAGATTTCCTCTGGGGTCATAATCATCTCCAGTTGCAAACCATAAAGACAACAATGTTAAAAGGACAGTAAAGAAGCTGTCTTGGCTGGAATTGGAAGATTGATTTGGGGGCAGTGGAAGCTGAAATTGGACAGGTAAGGTAGGGCTGCATTGTGAGGGCCTTTAGTGTTAGACTGAAGAATCTAGATTTGAACCTCTAGCCAATGGAAAGCCGTTATAAATTTTGAGAGGCTTGAGGTGTTAACTTGACATCATATATGCTGTGTAGCGCTAAAGCTCAATTATATGAAATGATTTTGAGATCTTGGGAGAAATGTCATAAGGCACTTCCCCTGGGAATTGGCTGATTGATAATTGGCCCCTACAGGTGTTCCATGATTATAAAATGTAAATGTGTGTTTTAGGATCACTCTTAGGTGATAAAACCCGAATGACTGAGTTATCAAGAGATATGAATGCATACATCAGGCCATCTCCTACTAGAGGGACTTTAGGAGGTGTGACAAGGACCACAAATGAAGCCATTCTGTTGTGCGAAGGAGGGGGATATGACATCATTCTCATTGAAACCGTAGGTGAGTATGATTTTCTGTTTCATAACAATGAAGTACTATAACAAATGCTATATAAAGATGAGTGACAGCTAATACCATTTTGTTCATTGAGCATGTATTTACTAAAGGTGTCATTAAATACTAGGTACTGTATCTTGGATTCTATAGGAGATATGAGAATATGGGCTATCATCCTTACCTTTAAAGAAAAGCCATGTGTCTGGAGAACTGTTACACAGGGGTGGTGTGTTGTAAGTACCAGACGAGAACTGTAAGCATTGGAAACGATATTTTAACATAACACCTATTTTGTTTAAAGCACATTTCACATGTCTTCAATATTCGCTCAGAAAATTCATGTAGCTGGGTACCTTTTTAATACAGGGCCATGTTTTACTTCATCTTTATATCCCTAGCACATAGTTATACCCAGTGAAAATACTGAAATGGAAGCCCTAAGAAATTCGCCTTCCTCTGGAGAGACAATCCACTGTTACTGAGTGATAAATGTTTGTGACACAGTCTGACTTGGGTTTTTTTTTTTTTTTTTTTTTTTTTTCCAACGTTTATTTATTTTTGGGACAGAGAGAGACAGAGCATGAACGGGGGAGGGGCAGAGAGAGAGGGAGACACAGAATCGGAAACAGGCTCCAGGCTCTGAGCCATCAGCCCAGAGCCCGACGCGGGGCTCGAACTCACGGACCGCGAGATCGTGACCTGGCTGAAGTCGGACGCCCAACCGACTGCGCCACCCAGGCGCCGCTGACTTGGGTTTGAGGGATCATGGAAGACTTCCAGGAGGAGGTGACAGTTAAACTCCATGCTGAAGGAGGAATTGGAGTTAAATAAAATGAAATAAAGAGAATGAGAGGACATGGCCCATTTAGAGAACTGCAGTTTGCTCAGGAGATATAGGGCATAGAGTGTGGAGGCTGGGCATGAAGAGAGATGGGGCTGGAGACTAGAAACTCCACCATCTAAGGGTGGATGGGGAAGAGTTGCCCATGCGGTAGTAGGAGAATCAAGGTAGAGGACCATAAGAACCAAGTGCATGACCTGGAAGTTGCATTTGACTGCTTGTCCCAGAGACTCGAAGTAACTGTGACTCAAACAGAGAGTGGTTTATTTTTTGTAAACAGAAGAAACCTGGAGGCAGGCAGTCCCAAGCAGGCCTGGTCATTGTACAGTGCCCTCGGTGTCCCGGGTTTCTGTCTCTGCTCTCCATTCTTGGCACTTAGTTCCCATCCTCAGGGTTGCTCATGGTTAAAAGACAGCTGATGAAGCTTGAACTGTCACATCCACCTTCTAGGTAGGGGGAGGGAAGGTGGGGGGAAGGGGTGGGCCCCTCCTAGCTGGGTCAGCTCCCTTTCAAGAACTTTCCTGAAAGCCCCATCTAGTGACTTTGGCTTTCACTAATTAATCATCTCTAGCTGAAATGGGTTCAGGTGACTGTGGGCTTTCGCCTGGTACATCGATGCTTCTGACAACATTGGGATAAGGAAATAGGGGAGAATAAATATGGAATGGACAACCAGAAGTCTCTGCCACCCCAACGGACAGAATTTCGAGAGGAGTTTCAGTGGAGCAGGTGATGTGGAAGTCAGATTTAAGTGGATTGAAATTAATGTGAAGTAATGAAGTGAAGACCAGTGAGCACACGTTGATTTTTTTTTTTCTAGACACTTAGGTATAAAGAGAAATGAGAAATATGGTGATAATTGGAGTAGGTTGTGAGTTTTTGTCTTATTTTTTTCCTGTTTGTTTGGTTTTCAGATGACCAAGACATGAGCACAATTCCTGTCAGGTGTTGGGGGACAAGAGCCCGTAGACTAAGGAAGTTAAAGATAAAGCAAGGGCGGGGCGCCTGGGTGGCGCAGTCGGTTAAGCGTCCGACTTCAGCCAGGTCACGATCTCGCGGTCCGTGAGTTCGAGCCCCGCGTCAGGCTCTGGGCTGATGGCTGGGAGCCTGGAGGCTCTGGGCTGATGGCTCGGAGCCTGGAGCCTGTTCCCGATTCTGTGTCTCCCTCTCTCTCTGCCCCTCCCCCGTTCATGCTCTGTCTCTCTCTGTCCCAAAAATAAATAAAAAACGTTGAAAAAAAAATTAAAAAAAAAAAAAAGATAAAGCAAGGGCAAGGGCACAGAGGAAGTGGGAAGGAAAGAGAGGGTAACCTTCAGCCAGTACTTCTTATACTGCGACTGGAGAGGAGGCAGTGAGCAGAGCTGGTGTTCGGGCCCGCTGATCTGCAGAGGGTGGAGAGGGAAAAGCTGAGGGGGTTCTTGCCTTCATTTCACCACCACGTAGGAGTCATGGTCATCATCATGCGGGGAGATTATGGCACAGTAAATGTTTGTAATAGCCACTGTGAGAAATGGGAAGGCAGCTGACTGAGGGCGTTTGGGGGCATTGCTTTTACCAGGCAGTGAGGAGGAGGTAGCAGATGTTAGACACCATGATCCTGCTGTGGTGCCTGTTCTCCGGCACGCTTATGGAGGAGAGAACACGGGTAGTTGGACTGATCCATGGGTTGGGGTTTGCGGGGCTCACAGGAAGTTGAGAAGGCAAGAAAGCTGAACATCTTGACAGACATGGTCTAGGGTTTAGAGCCACATTGCTCAAGCTGCTTACCACTGAGAGGGAAGCCAGGAAAGAGTTGCAAGGGGGGAGGAGAGAATGGACATCTCGATGTTCTCCATTCAGCCAAGACTAAGGCTAATGGGAATAAGCGAAGGGGAGAGCTGGGAAGGTCACAGTTTGCTCATAGGAAAGCAGTGCGTTTAATACATTCTCGAGAGGTGGGGTGTTTAAAGTGGGATCAGGCTGAGTGTGTGATCATGGATACAAGTGAATGAAGTGGAACAGGAATGGTGGTCAAGGTAGTTGAGAAAGCAAATTACTATGAATATTTTAGCATATAGTTGTGATTTACATTTGCAGGTGTGGGTCAGTCGGAGTTTGCTGTTGCTGATATGGTTGACATGTTTGTTTTACTACTGCCACCAGCAGGAGGAGATGAATTGCAGGTAATTATATTGACTTTTTTTTCTCCCCAAACACAAAGTATACATCTCTGAAAGTACAAATTTCCAGTGTTGTACTTCTGTAAATGAAGTTGCTGTTAATGTAGGGAAAGAAACAGCATTCATATTGGCTAAAAGTACTGAGTCAAAGATTCTCTATGTTTTTTCTCAACTTACAGTAATAGAGTTTATGACCTCGAGCTAACCATACAACTTAGATTTTTCCACCCGCAACACGGGAGTGAATGGAACACGTGGACAGCTCCAGCCAAAAGAGACTACTGTTGTGTGGGTGTTTGTAGTACAGAGACTGAGGCACTGTTTGCTATCAGGTTATTTTTCTTCAAATGTAAATTGGAGAAAAAATTACAAACATTAAGGAAAACTTCAAAGACTTTGTTTATGGAAATGCAGATGTTAGCGATAGGTGTCTTCTCTTTTTAAGCACTTAATGACGGATGATTTTGCATCCTGCAGTGTTAGCTCGTGAGAAAGGGAACCCATCATGAGGCAGTGTGAATTGTCTCCTGCCACTCATTCATGTGGTGTCTTAATGACATATTTACTCTAATCGTGAATGTATCTTAGCATGTTAGTCTCTAAACTTGGAAGAGACATTGTAGATGACTTCCATAATCCCAACAGCTGGTGGTTCTGAGTAATTTCTGTTGAGTAACTGTAATTCCTAGAACCCAGGGTTTAGGAAGATGTAGAGGAAAAGTTAGTTAATAAAGTGCGTGACTCTCAATTGACTATTGTCCCATTTTTGGCTACAATTAAATGAAGTATTTCTGATACATCACTGTCTTTTTCACTTTAGGGTATCAAAAGAGGCATAATTGAGATGGCAGATCTGGTAGCTATAACTAAATCTGATGGAGACTTGATCGTGCCAGCTCGAAGGATGCAAGCAGAGTACGTGAGTGCACTGAAATTACTCCACAGGCGTTCAGAAGTCTGGAGACCAAAGGTTAGCTCGCCTTCCTTTCTGCATTTTCACCGAGTGGATCGTGCACATTAGAAGAGAGGATGCAAGTCCCAAGCTAGACAGATAATCAATCTTTGCTTGTATGTGAGATTACAATTTTAAAATTATGACAAAGCCAGAGTGTGCAGTCATGATTTTAAATCTAATCCTTCAACCACTAGATGTCAAAAACTAGATGTGAGGGGATAGATTAGATTGCTTAATGCTTGACTTGAGCCATTTGGAAGTGATAGCAAATCCATTCTGAAAGGAACCATTCTTAAGATTATGGAGTAATTAGTGATTTGATTATCTTTATTAGAGTTTGAGTAGGAGAGAAGAGGCTTTTGATGTGATAGCTTCCCTTCCCATTATGCTTGTTGGGTGCTATTTTCAATAAGGAAAAAAAAAGACAAATTCTGTAATAAATGGTACAGTAATATTGATGTGGGCAGCTTTATCTGCAGGAGGACACTATGTTATTAAAGAATAAGCTACACTCACTACAGTGAGAACAGCCACAACCTGTCTTCCCATCAGCTCCCGGTCTCCCTGGTCAGGTTGTCTGCGTTGTACTTGCAGATGCTGGATGCTCAGCTCTTGGCACCTGCTGAATCAGGGAACTCTGACAAAGGGAGGGTATGGGGCTATTTTCTCAACTGAGTTTCATGGTCTGGCACTCAGGCCTCAGGGAAACCCACCCAGCCCTGCCCTTCTCATCCTCGTGACCCTCTCGCAGTTTGTCTGTGTTGCCCCTGCAGACCATCTGAGCGATCCTAACAATTGACCAGAATAGACCCTGGGCTAAAGATTTTGACCTTGAATCAGTGTCTTGTTTCTGCATGTATTTAGTAATCCTAGTAAGTGACCTCAGTCTGTTTCTCAGTATATTCACTTGAACACAGTGATAAAATGTCTCCGTTTCACTTGCCTATTTTCATACACTTTAAGACTTAATTGGCAGGAAACCAGACTCCCCGTGAAAATGTTTTCTATCATTTTAAGTAAAATGGTTTTGGGTTCTTCCCTTTTTAATAGGTAATTCGTATTTCTGCCAGAAGTGGTGAGGGGATCACTGAAATGTGGGATAAAATGAAAGAATTCCAGGACCTCATGCTCGCCAGTGGGGAGCTGACTGCCAAACGACAGAAGCAGCAGAAAGTTTGGATGTGGAATCTCATTCAGGAAAGTGTGTTAGACCATTTCAGGACCCATCCCGCAGTCCGGGAGCAGATTCCTCTTCTGGAAAAAAAGGTTCTCAGTGGAGCCCTGTCCCCAGGACTAGCCGCAGATGTGTTGTTGAAAACTTTTAAAAGCAGAGACTTGTGAAATGTATCCTATATAATGATTTTATATGACATTGCATAAAGTATTTTAATATTAAAGGTCACTTATATGCCTGTATTTTCAGCAATTCTTTTGTGGTGCCCTGGGCCCCATTTGTGAACTATGCTTGAAAAGTCAAAGAATGTTAGATATGGCTGGCAAAGGTCAGGCAGTCGGCAGTATTTGTAAGGTACCTGTTGTATGTTACTGATTTCCATTTCTTTCTATTCTCGTACGCTGCCATGGCAGCTGGTAGGATAGTTTCTTCTCATCAGTCATAAGCAGAGAAAGCTGAGGAGAACAAAAGAAGGTCATGTACCTTCTTTGATTTCTTTGATTCCATATTCGCTGAGTTTCCAGAGAAAATGTAAGCAAGAGTGACCACATTTCTGAATTCTTACTTCAGGCTAGAATCATACACGGTGGATTTCCAAGAGCTGAAAATAATGACTGGTGTTTAGTGTACCGGAGTATTCTAGCAATTTCTGAAATGGCTGTGTATACCAGTAACAAAACAGTTGGACTGTGTAGTGATGTGAACACAGTTTTTTTTTTTTAATTAATTTATTTTTTATTAATGTTTATTTCTGAGAGAAAGAGAGAGAGAGAGAGACAGAGTATGAGTCGGGGAGGGACAGAGAGAGAGAGGGAGACACGGAATGTGAAGCAGGCTCCAGGCTCTGAGCTGTCAGCACAGAGCCTGAGGCGGGGCTCGAACTCACAAACTGCGAGATCATGACCTGAGCCGAAGTCAGACACTCAACCAACTGAGCCACCCAGGTCCCCAGTGAGCACAGTTGTAAAGTCTATTTGTCTAGACCTGTGGATCCCCCATGATAGGCAGGAGAGCCCAAAGGGAACTGGGGGAAATCAGCTGCAAAGAATGTGGCCCATTAATTCCCAAGAGTTGGAGTAAACCCTCAAAAGACCCAAGTGAGGTCACAGTGAGTCAAGGGTTATTCGGTTTGAATATTACCAAAAGCTTTTGCTTCTCTTCTTCCTTGGTCATTTGATTTCATATTAGTGTCTTAAAAATCTATCTTATTCCTGATGGGGAGGAGCAAGTTTTCCAACAGAGGAAGTGTGGCACAGTGATTTAGAGATTGGGTTCTGGAGTCAGACTGTGTGGGTTTAAACTTTCAACCTAGATCAGTCACTTGTTAGTTGTTTAAGTTTGGACAAATAGCCTACCTCTCTTTAAGCTTCGGTTTCTTTCCTGCTAAAAGGGAACTGACACATTAACTTTATAGGGTCGGTGAGCGTAAAGGAGATAACTCAGGAGAATCATTTTCCTACCATGATGATACCTAGGAAATACCCAGAGGCTGCTTCCTATCATTATTATGTTAGTTACAAATACCTGAAACTGTAGGGGCGCCTGGGTGGCGCAGTCGGTTAAGCGCCCGACTTCAGCCAGGTCACGATCTCACGGTCCGTGAGTTCGAGCCCCGCGTCGGGCTCTGGGCTGATGGCTCAGAGCCTGGAGCCTGTTTCCGATTCTGTGTCCCTCTCTCTCTGCCCCTCCCCCGTTCATGCTCTGTCTCTCTCTGTCCCCAAAAAAATAAATAAACGTTGGAAAAAAAAATTAAAATAATAAAAAAAAATTAAAAAAAAAATACCTGAAACTGTACAAATCTTATATATAAATTGAATTTTCTCTCACGGTCTTACTACTACCATGATGTTCTTGTGATATTTTACGATTGTCTCTAAAGTACCTGCTGTAGTTAATTCTTTGAATATATTTTATACTGTTTGATGGTAGTTGTAAGTATATACATCTGAATAAAATTGTTTCTAACCAAAAAATTTCTCCATTGCACAAAATATCTTCCCAGAAATTTAAACCTTAAACTGTTCTGAATCCTTTAGAATATTTTACACAGTATATCAGCTTTCTGGAATTAAATTGCCTAAGTATTATTTTAGCAAACATGTGTAGCTTTTTTTTAATGATTATTTTTTTTATTTTTTATGATTTGTGTCACTGGCATACCTACATCTCATATGAGATTAGGAGGTTTAGGAGAAATGGAAAGATTATCCAGTCAGTTCACCTTATTTCAGAAAGGACAACCATTAAACCAGATGAAAACTGTTTTTAGAATCTTCCAGAGAAAGAAGTTCATAATTTCCCTTAGTAAACTATTACAGGGTCTGACAAACATGTCATTTGTGGTTCAGTGTGAGTAGCAGTGGGAGCAGATGCGTGCTGCATTATGAAGAAGGTGGCCAAAGAGTGGCTTTTATTAGCCCTAAGCGGAGCTATGCATTTCTTCTCAGTTCGAATTCCTTTTAAATGTTATAAATATAGTCATAGAATGCGTTAGAACCCCTCCCCACCCTTGTCCTCTTTCACTTGTTATTGTACCACGGGCTATAATGTGGAGACCAATTTCTAAGATACTGTTTACATTTATTTGCTATTTGTTATACTGGAAGCTGTATAACATAGTAAAATGTTTGTAGCCTTTAAAAAAAAAAATTCCATGCTCTCTTTTGTTAAGCTCGAAAATGCCATCCTTCCAGGCCATCTGTGATTCTACCATTGCTAAACCCTTGACCTGGTCAAAAACGATGGATTTTGACTTAGATGCACGTTGTCAGATTTCAGCGGTCACTAACTAGCCGTATGATTTGAGGCAGGTTTTTTTTTCCTCTTTTGTGTGCACCAGTTTCCTTATATTTAAAATTGGGGTAAGAATAGCTATTTTGTAGGGTTGGTGGGATAATTAAATGAGTGTGGAAAATGTCATCACAGTAAGTGGTAGGTGTTTGGGGGAATATTATACACTGACAGCTCGTTGTTCTGTAAAACAGACTGGCATCATTTAATTTGAGTTTGGCCAAACTACTTAATCCCCCTGTGTCCCAGTTTCCTCATTATTAAATGGGGTTGACTATATATTAACTATTTTAGTTAATATATAGTTCCTGGACACAGTAAGTGCTAAATAAATATTTAAAGAGCAAAATATTTAACATCTTAGGGTTGTTTTAAGGATTAAATGAGTTACTCTCCCCCTATCTTAAAAGAATAATTCTTTTCTGAAAAAACCTCATAGGTTGACTTTGCCTCTGTCAAAAGTATAATTACCATTAATTTCTGTAGGTCGGTAAAAAGGTGCTCTGTTCTAAACTGAGCTTCAAAATTGACAGACGTTTTGCTAAAACAGTACCAAACTTCATTAAGGGGACTACAATTACTTGTGCAGTTATAGCTGCAGTTAACATTACTCATCATACGGGGTGCCTGGGTAGCTTAGTTGGTTACGCATCTGACTTTGGCTCAGGTCATGATCTTGCGGTTTGTGAGTTTGAGCCCTGCGTCAGGCTCTGTGCTGACAGCTCAGAGCCTGGAGCCTGCTTCAGATTCTGTGTCTCTCTTTCTCTCTCTGTGCCTCCCTGATTCATGCTCTCTCTCTCTCTGTCTCTCAAAAATAAATAAATGTTAAAAAAAAAAAAACACTGAAAATATTACCCATCACAATACAACCTAGCAAGGAATTCTTTATTTTTATTTATTTATTTTTAAAATTTTTTATTACATTTATTTATTTTTGATAGAGACAGAGCACAAGTGGGGGAGGGGCAGAGAGAGAAGGAGACACAGAATCCGAAGCGGGCTCCGGGCTCTGAGCTGTCAGCCCAGAGTCTGACGCGGGGCTCGAACTCACAAACCGTGAGATCATGATCTGAGCTGAAGTTGGACGCTCAACCAACTGAGCCACCCAGGCGCCCCTATTTTTATTTTTTTAATGTTCTATTTATTTTTGAGAGAGAGACAGAGTGTGAGTGGGGGAGGGGCAGAGAGAGGGGGACACACAGAACCCAAAGCAGGCTCCAGGCTCCAAGCTATCAGCACAGAGCCTGATGTGGGGCTCGAACTCACAAACCGTAAGATCATGACCTTAGCTGAAGTCGAAGTCGGACGATTAAGCAACCAAGCCACCCAGGCGCCTCAAGGAATTCTTTCTTTATTGTCACTCTCTCATATGGTTATTTACTTCTTTCCAAGAGTGCATGTAGCTTTTGTAGCTCTGGTACACGCTGAAGACAAGAGTTAATAAACAGCATGCATATGATACTGTTTACGCAGTTCAACCTTTAATACAGAAGAAAAAAAAAAAAAAA